TGCTCTTTGATCTTCATCAGTAAATGTTTTAAATCCTCTTCACTTTTAGCAAGCAAGGTTGTATCATATGCATATCACAGGTTGTTAATGAGTCTTCCTCCAAAAATCACAAAGAGTACCTAAAATCAAGAGGAGAGTGTGTAAAGAGAGACTGCAAGAGGAATGTCAGAACTTTCAAGACAAGATCTGAAGAATGAAGAGAGATATTTCATTAAAGTGGATATGGTGGAAGTCAGGAGAGGGACATCATTCCAAAACTGAGACGTACCATGACATGAAGAATTCAGAGAGCCTGGAGTACAGAAAGTTATTTGAGATGAGTCTTTCCAGGCAGGTCTCTACAGGTTTTACTAAGGATTTTGAATAATAGAAGAGCAATGGGAAGCCGCAGAAATATTTAAAGTGTAGAAACAACATGATTAGGTTCACGTTTTAAAAATAACACTGGCAGTAGCATGAAGGAAGGATAATACGGAAAAAGAACTATTTAAATGTAAGAAACACAGTTATTGAAGTAGACTTCAAAAGAGATAAATTTTGAGCTTTGGAGTCTGGCAGCAGATGTGGAGAACAGTAGCGGGGATCCGAATGTACTATCAGGATTGGGACCCACTACTGTAAGAGCCCATCACTTGTCTGTCAGTTTGTTGTACTATAGTGGCTTATGAGTTGCTGTGATTCTGGAAGCTCTGCTGCTGGTATTTTAAATACCATCATGGTCATCTGAAATGTTGGACAGGTTTCAGATGAGCTTCCAGACGAAGACAGACTATGAAGAAAGAGAGACAAACTACTTCCAAATATTTAGTCACTGAAAACCTTATGAATAGCAAAGAAATACTGTTAGATACAGTGTTGGAAATTGAGTCCATCAGACTAGAAGGCATTCAAAATGCAACTGGGGAAGAGCTTCCTCCTCAAAGTATTGTTGACCGTGATGACAAGAATGGAGTTAAGCCCATGAGTGTAAGGACTTCAGCACCTTCATTTGCTGATGGGACACAATTATAAATGAAGAGAAACAGCTGTAAACATTCATTAATAATAGGAACATGGAATGTATAAAATATGTATCTAGGAAAATTGGAAATTGTCAAAAATGAAATGGAACACATAAACATAGATATCTTAGGCATTAGCTAGCTAAAAATAGACCAGTATTGAACATTTTGAATCTGACAACCACAGGTTTTACTATGCTGGAAGGATAATTGAGGACAAATGGTGTTGCATTCATCAAGAAGAACATATCTGTCATGAAGTACAATGCTGTCTGTTATAGGATAATGTCCATGAGCCTACAGGGAAGACCAGTTAATACCATTGTTATTCAAATTTATTCACCAACCACTAAAGCCAGTGAGGATGAAATAGAAGAATTCTACCAATGTCTTCTATCTGAAATTGATCAAACATGCAATTAAGATATCTTGATAATCACTGGTGATTGTAATGCAAAGGTTGGAAACAAAGACGAAGGTTCTATAGATGAAAACATGGCCTGGGTGATAGAAATGATGGGGACTGCATGATAGAATTCTGCAAGCTCAATGATTTATTCACTTCAAATACCTGTTTTAAACAGCATAAGAGATGACTGTACACATGAACCTTACCAGATGGAATGCACAGAAACTAAATTGACTACATCTGTGGAAAGAAAGTGGAAAAGCTCCACATCATCATCCAAAATAAGGCCAGGGTCAGATTGTGGAACAGACCATCAATTGCTCATACGCAAATTCAGACTGAGGCTGGAGAAAATGAAAACTAGTCCACGAGAGCCAAAATATGACTTTGAATATATCCCACCTGAATTTAGAAATCATCTGAAGAACAGATTTGATACATTAGACACTAAAGACTGAAGACCAGATTAACTGTGGGATGACATCAAGAACATTATCGTACAGGAAGAATGCAAAAAGTCATTAAGAAGACAAGAAAGAAGAAAAAGATTAAAGTGGATGTTAGAAGAGACACTGAAACTTGCTCATCAGCATAGAGATGCTAAAGCAAATGGAAGAAAGGCGGAGGTACAGAGATGAACAGAAAATTTCCACGGTCAGATCAAGAAGCCAAAGTCAAATATTACAACAAAATGTGTAAAGATCTGGAATTAAAAATCCAAGAGGGAAGAACACACTCAGCATATCTCAAGCTGAAGTAGCTGAAGAAAATATTCAAGCCTCGACTTTCATTACTGAAAGATTCTCTGGCAATTACTGAATGAAGCAGAAAACATCAAAAGAAGATGTTACAGAGTCACTGTAACAAAAGAAAATAGTTGATGTTCAACCATTTCAAGAGGTAGTATATGATCAAGAGCCAATGATACTGAAGGAAGAAGTCCAAGGTGCATTGAAGGAATTGGCAAAGAACAAGGCACCGGGTTGATGGAATATACATTGAAATCTTTCAGAAAATTGAGGCGGCACTGGAGGCACTCACTCATCTATGCCAAGAATGTTGGAAGACAACTGATTTGAAGATATCTGTATTTGTGCCCATTCCAAAGAGAGGTGACCCAACAGAATGTAAAAATCATTGGGCTATATATATTTGATATACCATGTGAATAAAGTTTTACTAAAGGTGATACAGAAATGGCTGCAAGCATACAGTGACAGAAAACTTCCAGAGGTGCAAGCCGGATTCAGAAGAGGCTGTGGAACAAGGGATATCATTGCTGATGTCTGATGGATCTTGGCTGAAAGTAAAGGATACCAGAAAGATGTTTACCTTTTTTTTTTTTTTTTTTTGACTATGCAAAGGCTTTTGATTGTGTAGATCATGACAAGCTGTGGACAACATTGTGAAGTATGAGTATTCTAGAACACTTAATTGTGCTCTTGAGAAACCTGTACATAGACCAAGAGGCAGTTGTTCAAACAGAACATGGAAACACTGAATGGTTTAAAATTAGCAAAGTTGTGTGACAGGGTTGTATTCTTTCACCATACTTATTCAACCTGTATGCTGAGCAAATAATTTGAGAAGATTGGTTATATGAAGAAAAACGTGGCACCAGGATTAGAGGAAGACTCATTAACAACCTGCAATATGCAAATGATACAACCTTGCTTGATGAAAGTGAAGAAGACTTAAAATACTTACTGATGAAGGTCAAAGACCATAGTTTTCGGTATGGATTGCATCTCAATGTAAAGAATACAAAAATTCTCACCACTTGACCAAAAAACAACATTCCTATCAATGGAGAAAAGATTGAAATTGTGAAGGACTCATTCTTCTTGGATCAACCATTAACACTTATGGACACAGCAGCAAAGAAATCAAAGGACATAACTGCATTAGCTGCATAAGATCTTTTTAAAGTGTTGAGGAACAAAGATGTCAGCTTGAAGACTAAGGTACGCCTCACCCAAGCCGTGGTATTTTCAATAACGTCATATACATGTGGAAGCTGGACAATGAATAAGAAAGACCATAGAAGAATTGATGCATTTGAGTTATGGTGTTGGAGGAGCATATTGATATTGAAAGTACCATAGACTGCCAAAAGAACAAACACATCTGTATTGAAAGTATAGCCAGAGTGCTTCTTGGAGTCCAGGATGACCAGACTTGTCTCTCATACTTCAGACATATTGTTAGGAGGGACCAAACACTAGGGAGGGAGATCATGTTTGGTAAGGTGGAGGGTCAGAGAAAAAGAAAAGGACCCCTAGTGGGATGGATTGGCAAAGTGGCAACATCAATGGCTCAAATGTGACAACAATTGTGAGGTTGGCCCAGGACCAGGCAGTGTTTCATTCTGTTGGGCATAGATAGGGTCGCTGTGAGTCAGTACCAACTCAATGGTGCCTATTAGCAACAACAACAGCAAATGTAAAAGCAGGTGGAGGTGACTGGTCCTCAGTGTCAGGTCATTCCTTACTTTGAAGGATGAAATTAGGCTCTAGTGTCAGAGGAATGAACAGAATCCTGGTACATGAGGCTATGGCATTGGGAAGGGTCTGGCTCTGGCACTTTAATGCACTTGGTAATAGGAGGCCATTTGGTGCCTTTGTAAACCTGGTTGGTATTCTTGGCTTCTGGCTATGTTGGCCTCATTACTGAGTTGGGAACCACTGAGGTACTCTGCAGGAATGCTCTCAAATGTAGTCGGGGAAATAACTATTAGAAAAAATTAATATGATCTGGTAGATCTAATTAGAGCAAAATATATGTGTAGAACTGTTGGATAGGTAGATTCATTGTAGAAACTCACAATTTATGAGCTTATGGAATGTTAGTCTTAACATGTTTATTGTTAATAAGTGCTATTGAGTCAGTTCTGACTCATTGTAACGATGTATACGATTTCCAAGTAGTAGCTCGTGGGTTTGAACTGCTGACCTTGTGGTTCTGAGCCCAGTGCTGATCCTACAGTGCCACCCTATTTAGCACTGCTTCAGACTGGGAATATTTTGTTTTATGGCAGTAACTTATTTCCAGAGTCCTCCCCATGGTTCTTGTACAATCATGAACTTTGTTAAATTCTTGTAGCCAAATATCTATAAGATAAATTTTAGGGACTTCTGTTTCCATGTTGGGTTGGTTTACTGTACTCAGATCCTATGTCTAGTGCCAATAACAATGCCAATAGTCCGGTATTTTCTCATTTAGTTTCTTTAAAAATATTTAAATACAGTCAAGTAACCTTATGTATATTGTGTTTATCAATCTCCATCTCTAACATTTCTATAATTAGATTAATGTGAGTTTTTAGCTTAATTTTCAAAGTCTTTTTCATGAATGCTTTAAATGTGGAACTTTTATTTGTAAGTATTGTCAATATATTTTAATAATTTATTTCTACAGTTAAACCCAAAAATGACAAAGAAAGAAGAGAAATGCAGAAATTGCACCATTTTTATCACGTCTTTGGAAAATCTATGGTAGGAAGTAACAGACCGTTAAGGGTGGTGAGAGAAAGACCTCTGGAGTCTCCAGCAAATTCTTCTGTTCAAAAGAAAAAGAAACAGCAGGTACTTTTTTGATCTATCAGGGATTAGTGATGTAGGGGTGCCCGAGGCTCTCTTCTTTGTTTGTATTGTATGCATCAGTAACCTGGTGCTGCAAAATCCTTGAGGAAGCCTTTTCTGACCTCCTCTGGCTTCAGGAGGGGGAAAATAATCAAACTTAAGTTCAGCATTGGGCTGATTCCTATGAAGTGCTGGTCACACATGCCTTCACTTTACAACCTTCTTTACCCTATTCTGACACCAATTGCCACACTCTCTGCTTCATATCTGGGTTCGATAATCCATTAAAATAGCCACATGCAGTACTCATGATTAAGGGGAAGTGAACAGGATACAATTCAGAATCAGAAAAACTCAGGATGTAGCAGTTCTTCAGTTAGGAATACCTCTTGTCTGCTATATTACAGGCATATCTCATTATTCTTGGCTTTAGTCTCTCATCCATGTGGTCTCTTGGCCTCAACACTGCTCAGGAAGTTTTATAAAGCACTTTTAACTAGTTTGTGAGTGTTCATAGGTCACATCCTGGAATCCAGTCCCCTGCCTGTGGGCATTCAGCTTTACTCAGTCCATGGGCCTAGAGCCTGAAGCTGCTCTGTCTCTCCATGCCACTGCCTCTGCCCTTGCTGCTTTTCTAGGTAGGTACCTCACACTCCACTCATGCTCTTCCTTCTTGATGGTCCTGGGATTGTCTGTTTCTGCTTCTGAGATGGCTCGTTTTAAGCCTAGATGGATGGCAAAACTAACCAATCACAGCATTAGAGCCCTTATATCAACTGCCCAAATATGCCTTCTTCAGCAACACAATCATTTGGGAATTAAGAAAACTTTGGATAGAAAAGTCACATCAACTAAATTCAAGGTACCACATTTGTGTTACAGGGAAACAAGAAAACTCCACCTTAAAGAAAAAAATGTATATTGTAAAACCAATTAACCATACCCTAGGTGTTGTTGTGAAGTGCTGTCATGATGGTTCTGACCCATAATGACCCTGTATAGGGTTTCCAAGAAGAAGTTGGTGAACTTGAACTGCTGACCTTGCTGTTCAAATGGCTTTACAGTCTGACGTATTAACCCACAGTGCCACACCAGGATTCCATACCCTAGGTGGTGGGGGTCATGTGCCGTGGAGTCAATTTCAACTCATAGCAACCCTGTACAGGGTTTCCGAGGCTGTAAATCTTTACACAGGGAGAAAGTTTCATCTTTCTTCCCCAGATCAGCTGGTAGTTTTGAACTGCTGACCTTGCTGTTTGCAGCCCAATTTGTAATCACTATGCAACCAGAGCTCATAAAGGTACCATACAGTAGGTTGTTGTTGTTAGGTGCCATTGAGTCGGTACCAACCCATAATGACATTATGCATACCAGAACGAAACACTGCCCGATCCTGGGCCAGCCTCACCACTGTTGCCACACTTGAGTCCATCGATGCTGCCACTTGGCCAATCCATCTCATTGGGGGTTTTCCTCTTTTTCTATGACCCTCCACTTTACCAAACATGATAGCCTTCTTCAGTAACTGGTCCCACCTGAAAATATGTCCGAAGTCTGAGAGACAAAGTTTGGCCATCTTGGCCTCCAAAGAGCACTCTGGCTGCACTTCTTCCAAAACTGATCTATTGGTTCTTTTGGCTGCCCATTGAACCTTCAATAGTCTCTTCCAACACCATTACTCAAAAGCAAAACTTCTTCTACGTTCTTTCTTATTCACTGTCCAGCTTTCGCATGCAAATGAGGTTATTGAAAATACCATGGCTTGGGTCAGGTGCACCTTAGTCCTCAAGCTAACATCTTTGCTCTTCAACGCTTTGAAAAGGTCTCCTGCAGCAGATGTGCCTAATGCAATACATCGTTTGATTTCTGGACTGCTGCTTCTATGAGTGTTGATAGGTGATCCAAGAAGAATGAAGTCTTTAACAACTTCAATCTTTTCTCCATTGATAAGAATGTTGTTTATTGGTCCAGTGGTGAGGATTTTTGTTTTCTTTACATTGATATGTAATTCATACCAAAGATTGTGCTTTTTGATCTTCATCAGTAAATGTTTTAAGTCCTCTTCACTTTTAGCAAGCAAGATTGTATCATCTGCATATCACAAGTCGTTAATGAGTGAGTCTTCCTCCAATCCTGATACCACGTTTTTCTTCATATAACGAAGCTTCTCAGATTATTTGCCCAGCATACAGGTTGAATAAGTATGGTGAAAGAATACAACCTTGTTGCACACCTTTTTTAATTTTAAAACATTCAGTGTTTCCATGTTCAGTTTGAACAACTGCTTCTTGGTCCAGGTACAGATTTCTCATGAGCACAATTAAGTGTTCCGGAATACTCTTACTGCTCAATGTTGTCCATAGTTGTCATGATCAACACACTTGAAAGCCTTTGCGTAGTCAATAAAACACAGGTAAACATCTTTCTGATATTCTCTGCTTTCAGCCAAGATCCATCAGACATCAACAATGATATCCCTTGTTACATGGCTTCTTTTGAATCTGGCTTGAACCTCTGGAAGTTGTCTGTCAATGTATGCTTACAGCCTTTTCTGTATTACCTTTAGTTAAACTTTATTTGCTTAGGATATCAAAGAGATTGTCTGATGATTTCCACATTCCATTAGGTCACCTCTCTTTGGAATGGTAACAAATATGGATCTCTTCCAATCAGTCTGCCAGATAGTTGTCTTCCAAATTTCTT